AATTTACATTTGAAGCCATAATTTTTATTTATTTAGACTCGGCGCCACAATATTATCCCTTTGGATAAATTTTTAACGCTGAAATCTGCATTTTCTTACCGATCTTGACTAGATGCAAGCTTGTCAATATATATGTAATTTTTTGAACATTATATTATTTTTCAGCAACTTCACAGTTGATTTTTAATATGTTACAGCTCTCAAAAATATCACAAATGTAAACTTTTATATTTACATATAGCGTTTTATTTTTTTAAATCCATAAGTTAAAATTTTGTATTTTATTTTTTAATGTGTTATTAAAAATTTGAGTACTAAAGATTGTCTGGCAACCGATGATTTAGCAAATCCCGTAAATCAGGACTTACTAAATCCTAAGATGGTTAAATCCCAAAAGTTGTATGGCAATGAAATCCTATAAATAAATTAAAACTGTTTGGGAAGTTCTACCTACATCCAATAGCTTTGTCCTGTAAATCTCATAAATCCGCCGATTTGTGATATTTGTAGTAGAAATACATAAAATTTGAATTTATCAAATCCTTGGCTTTATTTTGTCCAAAATAACCATCCGGCCCGCTCTAAATCCGTTACCAAACATCCCCTAAGGGTGTAAATATGAAGGTTGAGATGTGAGATACATAAATATATAAGAATTATGTGCTAAGTAATTGAAGCACCTACATTAGAAAAGAATAAATGATTGAAATTTATGTAAAGTGACAACATACCCAATATTGCATGAGCATATATGTCTTTTATTTAAGTTAACATTGCATATCTACCAATCATAATTATAAAACTAATACAAGATTTAGTTACTATTTAGGATCCATGTATGATAAGAATGCAATGCACATTAAATATAGGAAGATTTCCCATCGATACCAATCAATTTTTTACACACACATCATTTTACCTACACATTAAAATGTGTATTTCAATTTTTAAATGGTAAAAAGTGGTATCACCACAATTGCTAGTAGCCACAACTTGTGAATGGTCTTAGAGATAAAGGGGATTCATATAAAATTTTATATTTATATTGCATTATATTACCCACATAAAATAATATAAAAAACATCAAACACTTCTTAAGAGGACAAAACATTAATCCATACATGTGGATTAGTTGTATACACCCCCATTACACACATCGGCACATAAGAATCATCCACACGTAATATTTTTTTTCTCCTAGGAGGGGTACGAAGGGTGTGGACTTGATTTGCCATCGAAACAAATTAAAATTGAGCTAATGATCTAACATGAACATAAACAACCTTAATGTTACATGTGGTCGTTCATATGTGCGAATTAGGGATGTACGCCCCCAATACACTGGGAATACACCCTGAGTACACCCTAAATGTAGTCATCTGCATGTCATATCTTTTCCTAATGCTGAGAGAAGATGAAAACCACATGAAAACAAGTTCAAACCATGAAGTTTGTGCTTCCAAAACCAAGCAAAATACAGAAAGAAGTCACATCAGAATTTGTACAAAACATGTAAAAAAACCAAATTGGCATTGAATGGCTGTAAATTTAAACTATGCCTAATCTAAATCAAGAGCCGGTCTTCCTTTGCTGCATGTAAAAGGCAAAGAGTTTAGTCGCCTAAAAATAGCCAAGTTAAATTCTATGGGGGATCATTTGGATTTCAGGAAGTGGGGAGAGAGCAACTTTGCAATTTCCATCATTCCTATTCTGTCCTTTCCTTCGAATATTATCTTCAGCTTCTCATCACAGATTATCTCCTTCTTGTTTGATGGGTTCTGCAATGGCCAATGCATCATAGTTAAATGGAAGAATATATTTATAAAACAAAAAAGATGCTTCTTTTGCATTGCAAGAGGCAACTTTTGCCAAAACGTTCAAGTTTTTTATTAATGAAAAGTAGACATACAATAACTATGGAAAGCCAACAATTTATGAGACAAGAAGTAAGAAAAGGGGATTTATATAAATACCACACAATTCTTAAGAATTTAGATACCCATAGATGATACTAAAATTTTAAACATCACATTAAAAATACAACTACTAATAAAATTCTAAAGTGAAGTACAAACATTTCATGTCTTAGTTTAGATGAGATTAGGATGCTAAAGCGTATATGTAAATATAAAAATGCATGTGTAAGATATGTAAAATACATAGAATTGTGTGGAATGTCAAGCAAACAAAATATTGTAAAGTTTCAACAAGTAAAATCCTTCTCATCTGATAAAAAAGATTAGTTTGAAAGTTAAAGCAATCCATGAACTAAAGCGAGCGGAAGAGCACGACATATACACTTCATTTGTAAGTTAAATTGGATACAGAAACAAAATAATATAATTCAGAACAGAAAATAAGAAGTGCTAATTTGTTTTAAAAGTTAGAGATCAGAAAAAGTGTGGGATATTTACATACATATCCCCAAAATCCTATGTCTTACATATCTAATACCTAAACTTAGCCTTTTACATTTAGACCACCCAAATCTTTCATATCACATCCCACCATTTTAACTTCTAAAAGTGAAATTCATCTTTTTCATGCATAGGTGAGGTGCTATGTATGTAAAAATTAAAGCTTAGGTATTAGATATGTACATACATAGGAATTTAGTGGTATGTATGTAAATCATCCACAAAGACAACGGGTTAAGCTAGTTGGATATATTGCATCTCCTGGTTCTAAATAGCATGGTCAAGTTGGACAATTATAGCATTTATAAACATAGGTTTGGAATTTAAATGACAGTTTAGATCTTTAGATGCATGCATGTAACGGTAATTAATAAGCTCATCTACTAAACTAAAAATTGAAATTGACTACGAATAAGCAATAATAATTAAATAATATTAAAAAACATATTATAAGCTATCATGATTTGCTAGAAACAGGGAAAACATCGTGCTATCTATATGTCATATTTTGATAGACCAACTCACCAACCGCAAATTGAACAAATCATTGTCAATAACATTGAAATTCTTATCAAGAAATTTCACTAAAAGAAAGAGCTATAAACCCACATGATAATCTACAAACTTGAATATGCAAAAGAAAGCAAGAAATTAAATTTCTTGAATTTGAACTAATCTCAAAGTAAAATAAAAAAAAAATTAAGCCAAAAGATGTAAAAGTTGAAATATATTTTTAACATGGCGATTGCATAAGCTAAAATTGATCACATCAAGCACTGTGCCAAATGAGCCAATTTCAAGCATAATAAAATTGAAAAATCAATATGTGATAATTTATTTATCAGCAGACACAAGCAAAACTTGCTAATATTAAATTTTGTGGTTATTAAATGGTTCATTCATAAATAGAAGCCAACATGAATTGTGATTAGTTTGCATAAGAAGAATGAGGATTCTATACAAAACACTCAAACACTATTAGACATTTCACACCAAAAGTTCACTATTTAAACACCCATCACTCCAATATTTAAATAATATAAAAAATAAAACCGTCTTAATCCTCTTAGTGCCAACCCCATCACCAATAGAAAGGAGAATTGTCATCAATGCAATTGACATAAAATGGTGGCTTAAGTTTGGGTTGGACGGAACAATACATTTTAGAAACTCTTCGTTTATTTCATTTGTAATGATTCAATCAATTCCTTTAACAGGAAGCTCATATTTCAACTTCTCCTTTACATACCATCGATCTGTCTGATACCTTTGAAAATGAGATCCAATGACAACTTTGTTGTTTCTATTGTCTTTGATGGTTTGTTGGAAAAATTGCGAGAGAGAGAAGATTAAGAGGGAA